CTGAATACGTTATTGAGAAGGAGGAGGAAGCTCTAGAGGAAAGACAGTAGAAGCACGTTGGAAGTAAGAACAATGCCAATATTAGGTTGAGCAGTATTAAAAAAGGTTCACAACTTTAATGTATGAAATACACAGCGACTACATTATACCAATTAAAATTCTATGAACTTCTACGTCGTCGCGGCCAGAGACTTATTCGCACGGGTTCGTTGAAAACGCCATACGCAGGTGAAATTGCTCAGCAGTCAGTCGAGGGACGACTCGAGTGCCTGGTGGTGTGATGAGATATTGCTCTGGGTTTTATGGTAAATGAAAGGGTGGTTATGCTTCAATTAAAGGCCGCGGGTATCTTACCAAGTATTTCTACGTGAATTCGCCCGAATTCTACGTTACTTCTCTGGGATTCTAGGTTGGTTACTTATAATTGTCTTATGAAAATAATTACCTGGTAGTTAAATAATTCAAATCGACTACAAAGTAGCATTTTCTAACAAGTTTCTAACTCTTTAGCTTTAACATTTTGAACTCAAAACTTTACTCCAAACATTCAGGAAAGGTTTTCCTGAGCTACTGAAAATTCGCTCTTTGAATGTAAGTTTATTAACTCTGTTCACGAATTCTGCACTATGGGTTCCTGCGAGATTGATTGATGGATTGATAATTTTCAGGCACGTCATGGTCATTAGTCCTGTTAGGGTAGTGAATGTTTTATTCCGTGAGGTGGCGCTGTTCCTCGTCCGCTAGATGGCGAGATTCGGTGACGACCTACATGTCGGCGTGCTCTAAGATCTCCCCACATCAATGTTAGTTTATTGCATGCAAGTGCTTGTGTGGGTGTAAGGGGAGAGGATAGGACAACGAAGAGGAAGGAAAGATTGCGCGCGGCCCGTTGCCAGTTGATACTGCTTTAGGATTGGGCCGGAATTGATTGAAGAAACCACGGAAGCCGTTCCGATAGAATTCTCCAGGCAACAGCTGAATTCGACCTATCTCTCAAGCCGATGGCGAAAATCCAGCTACCGTGAAGACTAGAAAAACTTGTACCTTTCTCTCAGAGTAGATGCAGAGGCAACGGTAATGAGTAACTTACTTGGTGCGTTCGTAAGAGAATAACTTACTCTTATTCTTCCACATTGTTTTATCTTATTCATACCTTGGCAACTCTAATATTGAATATTTTAACAAAGATTAAGTTTAATTTATAAAAGAAGTTAAGTTTACGTATTGCCTTGCAAAGCATTCTAACGACGCTCGAAATCGTAAGTAACTGGACCTTGCATCCCCTCATGACCTATTGCTCAATCTTTTAGTAGCATTTTTCTTATGAATTGTACTTTATGGAGTCACAGGTGTACAAATCATGTTCTAAATTAATACAAACTTCTTTGTACAACTTCTAAGAACTTCATATATTTTCATTTTTTGACTTTTTTGACAATCTAATAACTTCATGAACTCTCTTCTCAACACTTCTTTAAAACAGCGGCAATTACCTTGTATTATTTACAAAAGAAAATGAAAGTTATTTACCAATCTAATGCATTAAAATAGCATTTTACCCGTTCCTATCCGTTCTTTTCTATTATATAAAACAGAAGCTGAAGTCGGGGAGTATCTTTTCGGCAGATAATTTCGGTTTTAATACGGAGTTTCATTATTTCGGAGCTGTAGCATCTATTTATATTTTTTTTCAGATTACTTCTAAACACTTCAGGTTTCTGAAGTTGTTAGTCGTTTCCTCGATTTCATTCTTTCTACTCGACTATCTAGCTTTACGATGACTCGGTATTGGAATAAAAATGAATATTGCTTTTGAGAACATTCAGAAATACCTTGAAAAGGAATGTCGACATTCAAGCCTTACTATTTTTCAAACGTCATCGACGAAATTCAGGAAGTGTGAGAACACAATTATTAGCTGCGCCACGCCTGCGGTTTCCTTGTATGTAAATGTTTTCAAAACAATCTAAGAGGTATCGCCACACAGTGACAAGCGAGAGCGAAAAAAATATAAATAAACACACCAGCAACAAACACAACACAGAGGAATCGGTCAAAGGACGCCGGCGCCGGCAGTGGAGTTTCTCTCCCTTTGAGCGTCGACGGAGGGGGGGAGGGGAGGGGAGGGGGAGGGGGTGCAGGGAGGAAGAGGGTGCAGCTGCCGGCGATCGGGTTTCGCGATAGAGCGCCGGCGATAAAGCCAGAAAGACACGCGAGCGCTCCCATTCTGACAGCGCGGGCCGCGGCGGCCCACACTACCTCCTCACAATCTCTGCCTCCCGACGCCAATCCTCACCACGAGTACGACGCACTTACTTGCTGCGCCTTTCACGATCAGGAAACATCGTCTTTTTAGTGGGGGGCTGTCTTGTGGCTTAAGCCAAAAATATCTATTTTCCTTTTCCATATTTTGATAATTTTGAAATTCGATTCTTTGTTACCTTCTAATAGATTCGTCTGGGGATATTTTTTCTTTATTCTTAAGGGGTGGTGTAATAATATTTTTAATATGAGTTTATTAGGGTTCTGAAATCGTTTTCAAGATGACAAGTTAATTCAGAATAAAGAATTCAACCTTATTACTTCGCCATTACTACCCTTAATTTCTTTGCACGATGATGCATCGCAACTCTCTTCCCACTTCTCGCTCCAGCACCTGAATCAAGAACGGAGGTCGACGCGGTGAACACTTCGCACTACTTCAGTAATGATTGCTAATGCTCATTAAAGCGTTTTTACCATAGGGTATGAGCAAGGACGTAGAAAATTTGCTGAAAGTTTGAAAATCCCACCACGAAAACTGAAAAAAAGTTAACTAGAGGGAATGTGCAGCGTATCGAAACTCCTCCCCCTCCTAGTGTTATTTACCATGTTTTAGCTCAAAAGTTCTGACAAGAGTTTAATGTATGACGCATACTTTCATCCATCCTCCCACCCAGAGACGGAAAGATATCCTAATTCTCGGGGATTAATTACGTTATCTTCTCGCCACCTACAATCTTAACCCGTTAATGCCCCTTGTTACATGCACGTAACCACATTGCTGGCCATCTTATATTTGCACATTTGGCACTAATTTGCAAATTGTATTCCTTCAAAAGACGGAGACATCCTAACTGAAACATTTTTACATTCCTGATTGTTAGATGTCGATTTAGCCGATGTCGCTAAGGCTCATACACTACTGACCAGGGTGTACTAATGACTTCGTCGATTCGAATCATCATCTAAAACAGAGTTTAGCTGCAGTTAAGTCGTCAGGAGAGGTCGGTGTTAAGCCAACGGTCCGCACCGATGTTGACGAGAAATATGCACCATCTTTAAAACAGCATGATTTGCAGCGCGTTTCACGATTTGTATTGAGTTTTGAAAAACGATGGCTGAAATGTGATAATATGGAGAGAAATTGTAATATTATAATATTACGCAGCCGCTTCTAAGTGCGAGAAAGTACTCGCTGTTGGAGCATCACTTGTTTTAAATTTTATTTGTGAAGCCAACATTCCGCGAGATGGTAAACCTTAAATTGAAATTCAGCACCTCAGAAAACGTATAGAACTAGTGAAAAAACTACTTCCGGAACTTTTTCCTGAATCGAGCTGAATCGGTTTTTGAGCAATAGGTGGTGCATTCCGAGAACTGATCAACCCACGAGGATCAGAATGGCCGCAAGATTTATCCTCCAGGCAGGTAAATTCCATCTAGTTCTACAGCTAGTGCCGAAAACCCGCCTCCTTGGGACCCGAACCCTAGTGTCACCAGATTGGAGACGTTGGAGCGACAACGGTTGTTGCCACCAAGTCATCACTGATGGTGTAAGAAGTACGAAGCATGAAGGTTTTAAAATGCCGAAACGTCGCCACCTAATGTGGAAAATTCAAGCTTTCGACTGGATATTGACATCTGTATCAAAAAGCAAACTCTATAGAATGGTATTAGTTAGACCTGTGGGTTAAAATGGAAAGGAAGTTGCAGTTATTTAAATAACTTTTGTTTTGGCTTGGGGTAAGCGCACACTGAGACACCTCGTCACAGAAAATTGTTTCGAAACAATTCAGAAATGTTCCTCAAATGTTTCGAAACAATCCCACAAATGTTTATGGATTTCTGTCGAAATGAAAAACATGAAAGGGCAACATTATCATGTGTGTAAGTGTTCGAAACTTTCTCAGTGCTCCCAAACAATATTATTCTTTGACGCTCTGTGGGCATCTGAGAAAGCTGGTGAGATTGCAGAAAAGCTTGTCTTTGAAACAATGAAAATATTAAATATAAACATTTGGTAAAAAAAAGTAATGCGGTGGATGATTTTTCTAAAAAAAAGTGAATTGAAGAGAGAGAAAAAACTGTTGAACATCCTTATATCTCAATTTCTTAGGTACACACAGACGTATTTCAATTTTCTTGCCCATCTTTTCGTTTCCATGTTTTTCTTTCTACATTCTTGTTCAATTGCGATAAATACGCACATGACAACTGCTAATGCGGTTGGCAATGGCTTGTTAAAACAGAACTGAAAAGGTGACAACCACTGTTTCGATATACGAAAAAATTGTATTGAAGCATTGTTGCACTTCAAAGCACTGAACAGTTGCATCAGTTATGTAAACATTTATGTCGACGGTAGCATTTTCACCGATTTCATTTTCTGGTGAAATAAAAAAAAAAGTACATCGCTGTAGCGTATTTTCTTTCGAAACTAATCCCCTTTCCGAATAACGAATCCATACGGTTACTTCTCCTCGGCTTTCCCTTTTTATTTTAGGAGAAACGAATGAAATAATTTATAGCATGCTGAGTAAAAACATTTCTTTCTGTATTATCAACTGCTACTTCTCTTATCGTCGACTCACAATTTTCGCGTTTTTCGCTAGCAAATTCAATCTCTCGCGCCCGTGTGGACGCAATATAATAAAATAAGGTCTTTGCGCAATGTTGGCTTGGTGATTGCCCAGCCCTGCTCCGCCGCTGGCGGGGAGCGCGTGCCGAGGGGGACTCACCGGGCGCCGCGGAGCGCGAGCGCGTGCGAAGGCGCGGGCGCGGGCGCGGCGGGGCGCCGCAGGGGCCGCAGTAGGGGCCATCGAACGGCCCCGGCAGCCACGTGCCCAGCAAGATATCCAGGGCGCTGCGTCTGCAACAGACACGAACAACATTACTCAATTACGCTGCGTATGTACACATCGCGTTTTTTTTTATTTCAATACAATATTTGATTGCATTGTCGTGCGTTTTCCTGACGCGTCATCTGCTATTGGTCGCTAGTTCCGAGGGTTTAGTGTGGGTGATATGGCAGCTACGTGCGGTGTTAACAGCTCGAACGTAAGAATCGGATTTGGCCTCTATTGCGCGGTTTCCCACGCTACAGATACCTCTGCCAGCACCTCAAGAGACCCTGAGCTCCCGACAGGTATTGTAGTGTAGAAGAGGAAAGTATGTATCTTTACATATGGCATCTGTATCTGATAGGGGTAATTACGGAGAACTACCGATCAGAGCAGCGACTGCTAGAATTCTCCTCCAGACAGCGGTCAAATTTCACCTGGAGTCTAACAATTTTCAACTAGTGTCGAAAATCCGCCACCTGTAATCCTAGGACCTCCAGGTCTGCGTTGATGCAGTAGCAACCGCTCTGAACCAACTCTGCCGATTTATTACATTAAAAAAAATTCAAGGAAATAATTATAAATTGAATTTCAATTTCGTGCTGGAGTATTTCTCCTTCCATAAACAACGGCGCTTAGTGTTTAACCCATTCATATACATGAAAATCCGTGGTAAGTGGCTGTTACCAGAACAGGTGAGCAGGGTGAGCAAAACCCTTTCTGAGAAATAAATCTTGAATGATGTTTAAAAAGAAAACATTTATAATGCATGATTTGGTTTTCGGGCGGAAGCATTAGGAAAAAGAGGGCGGTTGTGAATGCCTTCGGGTTACGTTTAAAAACACTGATGATCTAAGGCGGCCGTGAAGCATTCCTTTTGAAAAGTCATGCCGACCAAGAAGGATAAGGAAAAAAACTATGTTTGAAAATTAATTACAACTGTTCTGAGGTAGTAGTGCAATGTACATATTTAATTAATACCAGACTAATTATTTTTATGCTACGGAATTTATTTTTAATTTTTACGCGCATGTTGACCTGCCACAATGTGTGTGTCGAATAATGAAGAGGTTCCTCTAATTTTGATGTCTGAAATTAGTCATTACTGTCGTCGATCGTGTTTCCGAGAAAGAGAGAAAAAAATAGCTACTCATTATTAAAACTAAGTGTCGGGGAGTTAAACACCAATTTCAGAAAAAAGCCTCATTTTCGGAAAGCTCAATGAAGTTCCGGTGAAGGTAATTGAGGAAATTAACGTATACGGTCACATGTGATTTCGCCGTTTATCTTAATGTATGTGTGATTCAGCTAGTCTTTCTTTTTTTCCTAAATCTGTCTTTCCAAATTTTAAATATGAATAGGTGAAACCGAGTTCTTTTTTATAAATAGAAGGCGGCTTCGAATGTACTTCAAAAATGTATTTACACATTTGCTAAAAAAAATTAGAAGCATCAGAGCTCGAAGACATTTTACTTTCTTTTCTAAAATGCATTTCAGCGATTGTTTTTATTCACAATAATAGTGCCAACAGTTCTCTACTCATTGTGTTCATCAATAATATGCTGTAATATCCAATAATGTTGAAATGAATAGAGGAAAACAAATATCTTTTGGGAATGAAAATTGTACAAATCTTTCGAACGTAACTTCATGTCCCACCTGCCAGGGAGCCAATACGCAAGAAGGAAACTAGTTGCAAGTTAACTGTTTCTTGTCCTCGAAACACTTCGTCGATTCTGTGAATACGTGCCGGTTTTGTGCGTACAAAGGCATCCCTTTATTTGAAATTTTAGAAACAAATCTCGTATCTCAAATACGAAGCTGGCGCATGTTACCCATTCCTGGAGGCAAAGTTCATTTCTGAGAGACGGGAGATAAGAGAGTGAGGAAGAGGGAGAGAAGGAAGCATGGGAGAGAGAGAGAGGGGGGGGGAGAGAGAAGAAGAAGAAGAGAACGGAAGTCGGAGCAGGAAGGGATTAGGGCGTATTAGCATTAGCCACAAAGGTAATGTTTACGGCAGCGGGTGGACGGGCGGGCGAGTAGGGCGACCGGCGCGGCGTTTATTTGGCGGCTCTAACTATAGACTAGAGTGCTAACCAAACAGCCGCCATTCTCCCGGGTTCTCCGGCAGCTGGCCATCGTTTACTCTGACAGCCAGCGTCCGCGCCGTGCGCCGGGCCGGGCCGGGCCGAGCCGAGCCGGGCCGCACTAGCGCTGCGCAGCGGGCGGGCGGGCGACGCGTGCACGCGTGACACGCGTGATAGGGTTGCCGCCGAACGACGCAGTCCCCCCCCCTCCAGGCCCCTCACGGGTGCGTGGTGCAGCGGAAGGCGAAAGGAGAGCGAACGCGCGAGGCGCAGCGCTTCCCACCGCACGCGCGACTGAACAATCAGCGCCTTTTGGGGGCTGTTCTTCAAATTACTATGTACAGAAAGTGAGCGACTCCCTCCCTTCAGAAAAGCCAATAATCTCTCGATTTCGCCCACGGTCACATACCCTGAATTACATCCCGACACCTCAAATATGACCGCCTTGGCGCATCGCCGTGGAAATTCGAGGAGCCGAGGATCGCGTCCCGCGTAAGAAACGGGTGTTTTTACCGTATCGTTGACTTCTTAACCACCATGGTGTAACGGTTAGCGTATCGGACAGGTATACCCGAGTTGTCGGGTTCCAAACCGATCGAAGAAATCCTTCGTACGCCTTCATTCAGAGGGGAAGTAAAGCCGGCTGACCCATGTTAGTAGATTTACTTGCATGTAAAAGATCCTCAAGCCTAAATGACATAGCCTCTGAGCTAAATTCAAATCGCCTGTTTCTCGCCCAAGAAATACCTCCTTCCTCAGCTAGTTCGTGAAAGGAGCGTGGCGAAATTTGCGTGGTCAGACGGAAGAGCGAGTCTCGCCACGTAAAATAAGGCATTAATTCAATTCAATTCAACTCAATTCAATTCTTTCCATTTCTCTTTCACCCACCTCGTCTAGCCACCCCTACTATATCACCTACGCAGTGGAAGGCTAAGCCAAATCACTAACGGGGTCACCTGACAAGACCGAGGCATACTTCCCTCGACGATGCTGCTCGACGCCGCACTCTCACAATAAAGGGAAGCGAATTACTGGCGGATCCAGCGGTCAGTGAGGGAAGGGGGGGGGGGTCAAATTTAGTAGTCCATCGAAATCATACTTTAAAAAAATTCTATATGAATTCCGGAAAATAAACATTTACTCGCAAAGCAGAAGTAGGCGATTGCATGGAAAGTAATTTGGAAGGTCGCACAACCCCTATTATGCAAACAGTAATTCACCCATAAGTGGAAAATTATCGAATCTATCACTTGCAAAACCCTGCACCGCCCTTCCACAATGATTCAAATTTGCATTTGGGCATTTTTTAAAAAGATATTACATACAATTTTTCTCTTTACTACGAATACGAGGAAGTAAAAAGGCTTTTACATCGCACTGCACTTCCAAGAACACGCTCAGCACCAACCAATGGAATGCATCAAGACGGACTCAATGACAAGAACCTTTATACATCCTTCTCTTCTACGCAAAAGCTACGTCAAACTGACGTCAAGCAAATTTATCACACAGATGCATTTAGACTCCCCGTTGCAACTGCGAAGTTCAGAACGCAGATACTTAATGGTGAAGTAAATCACATTCCTCGACAGCATAGAACCAGAGTTTAAACGTATAAATCAGATTGAGGACTAACCAAACATTCGAACTCCATTTTGTTTTCCACCAATTCTCAAAATCCCAATTACAGAAATTGTCATAATAAGCCCTTTGGTTCCTTACAATGAAAGTGAAACTGCCTGGAGTAGAATGGGAAGGAAAATAGTTCCTAAAAAATGGAGTATGGCGACCCCATTTTAAAAGTTTATATTAGATTAGTAATAGTATAAAAGTATAAAACATAGACGCTTTATCACTGCTACACTTAATGAAATACATCATTTTAGCGCACATGTAAAAATTGAATTCAAACATTCATTAGCAAGAAATTGAAAAATTGTTTTGCAGCGAAATCGCAGCCGAGAACATATCAGACTTCATTGTAGAAAATTTCTCGCTATTCCTCAGATACTTTGGAGTGAATTTTCATAACAAGGCACCTTTAACAAAATATCGAGGAAAATTATTAATAGTGGACGCGCACAGGTGCGACCGAGCGTATGTATGTGTTACAGAAAGCTGCTCTTGCATTGAAACTAAACGTTCCAGAGCGAGATAAACCGGAAGGCGCGGAATTGCGCTTGGACGAGGGCGAGGCGGAAAGAAGGAAAGGAAATTGCGCATGCTCCTCGAGAAGCGAGAGGGGAGGGCGAGGGGATTGGGTGCGGCCGACGGCAGCGGGCCGGCAGCGGCAGTGGCAGCGGGCGAGAGCGGGCGGGGCCGGGGCGGGCGGGCGGACGGGCCGGACGGGCGGGCGGGCGGGCTGGGCGGCGGCGGGCGAGGAGGTCGGACCGGCGGGGACCGGCGGTGAGCGGGGGGGGGGGGCGGGTGGGCGGGTGCGGACGCGGGACGGGACGGGGTGCGGGCTGGGCAGGGACGGACGGGCGGGGTGGCGCGGGCTGACAGGGGCGAAGGCGAGGATGGACGGGGCAGATAGAGGCGAGGGAGTATGATGGAGGGCGGGGTAAGACAGGGCGAGGCGAAGATGGGACCGGGGCGGGGGTAAGACAGGGGCGAGGCGAGATGGCTCACGGGGCGGGCGGTTAAGACAGGGGCGAGCGAATGGCGACGGTGGCGAGGCTAAGACATGGATGGCGGGCGGGGCGGGCGGAGCGTAATGACACAGGGCGCGGGCTGGCGGGTTAAGACAGGGCAGGGCCGGTATCGACACAGGCGGCGGGCGGGGTAAGACCAAGGGCGGGGCAGAGTAATGACAGGCGTCGGGGCGGTAGAGCACACAGGGGGGCGGGCGGGTAAGACACACGCGGGCGGGGCGGGCGGCCAGGTAAGAACACAGGGGCGGGGCGGAGTAATACACAGGGGCGGGAGCGAGGCCGAGACCT